GACTCGACCCACGACAACCCTATGAAACCCTCAATCCCACGACCCAGGACTACCACGTGAGCCACCGAACGACCGAGCATGGACGACCCAAAAATAGAGGTCAGTGAACGAATCATTGTAAATGACATTCGTTAAGGATTACTCAAAAGCTATATTAAGACCATAAACGCTGGTATGACTGAAATGAACTAAGCGTTATACCAATGGTCCAAGACCAACTACAATAACTCGACCCAGTACCTAAAAGTCAAGGAATAAAAGATAACGGTCAAATGAATACGTTAGCAATCCTAGTCACTTGGATAAGAATGAATCTTGGGCAGTTCATTCCGGCAACCAGTTATTTCTCTCGGGCATCCCGTTGGGGCATCCCCTTGTACTTTCAGGCAGCCCTCTCATGGGCACCAAGTGTTACGAAAAGATAAAGTCACATGCCCACATGCCATGCTAGTTGCCCTCATGCCCAATTGCATTTTTTTTTTTTAAAAAAAATATATTTTATGGTAATTGGGGAGGTAATCCTCCCCTATAAATAGGCATTCAGCCAGAAAGAAAAAATAACACCGCAAAGAACAGAGAAAAGAGAGGAAAGAAAAAGAAAGAGAAAGTAAAGAAAAGAAGGAATTTATATTCCAAATAAGGAATACCAGTATTCGCGATCCCATCTTAAGGTGGAGACAGCTGGAAAACCTGTTTGGTAATATTTGAGGGATAAAAATATTATTGAGAATAATAGAGAAAAAATATCAGAGAGATATATTTATTCATATTTTTAAGTGCTCAATTCTCGACTCCGTTCAAGTTCGCCGGAACTCATAAATCTGATGTGCTACAAATTTAGAGACGTTTGTTGTTGTATTTTTGGGAAAGTTACGCCTGAACCGTTAGTTGCCACATGGGTCGTATTCTTCTTTCAGAAAGAGTTTTACTCGCCTCGGTTAAAATCTTTCCATTTTTCAGTTGTAATTTATTTTCAATTCAATTATAATTTTCTATTTTTAGATTATTTGTAAGAACTGAAAAATACATATTAGTTCGTAGGATTCCCGTGTACTTTTACACCTAGTAACAAACACCAAGACAGAAATTAGGGTAAAATTATCACTATAAATAAGAGGTAAAAACATGCTTGTCAGCTCTTCTTCCAATTTTCGAATGGAGCTCTCGCGAAAAAAAACCCTCTCCCTAAACCCGCCGCGCCGCTTGATCTCTTCATCTCACCGTCGATCTGCCTTCCTCGGCGACATTGGGGTTTTGGCCAGTGGTCACCCTTGACCGCTCGTCCCACCCTTGATGTCTCGCGTTCCCGGTATTGCTGCGGTGGTTCAGAGATCGGTGCTCTGCCCTTGGTCATTGGTTCAATTGCATCTGACGGTGGCGTGCCTCTCGGTCGTAGATTGGCTCGCGGTTGTTGGTTTCCCCTCAATCGCGGTGGGTCTTTGATGGGTGGTGTTTGCCCTAGTTTCTACAATTGGGTCTGTGATTGGAGTGTTCCTCTTGGTCGGTTTCGGTTTCCCGGTGGGACCTCTGTTGGGGATTTAGGGCTCTGGTTGCTGGCGGGCTGCATGGTGTTGGGAGGTGTGAGTTTCAGTGGGTGGGGCGGGGCTCTGACGGATGCGACGTTTTTGCATCGGGGGAAGTCGGAGTAGGTGGACCGAGCCGCTCTCTCATTTTGCTTCTCTGGTGTTGGGACGGGGAGTCCGGAACACTCGAGCTTGACTAGTGGTGTTAGTCGAGTTCGGGTTGTGATGGCGTGGGGAGCTGGTCTTGTTGTTCTCTCGGTTGGAGGCGGGTTGATTTGAGGATTGGTTCGGGGCTCAGTTTCGGCTTCTGTATAGGCAATTTTGCAGTTTTGGTAGCGGTTCCTCGGGCTCGGGATCTTCCTTGGATCGATTGTTCCTCTGCTGGATGGGCCCGGTTGTATGCTGGGGAAGGGCGTTAATTCATAGTTATATTATTTTTTTTTTTTAGTGTTGTCTGTGTTTGTGTGGTCGTGTCTTGTGTTTGCTGTTTTCGTTAGGTGTCTTTGGTTTGGGCCGTTGGCCCCTGTATGGTGTGAGCCCGATTGTGTTCGGGTATTATCCCTTGGGGATCATTCCTATTCTCCCGTAGGGAGCTTTGTGTTGTTTTGTTTGGGTGGTAGTGTGAGTTGTGTTTGAGTCTTGTTTTGGATTCTAGCTTGGCTAGCTGCGGTTCTAGGCAGTCTCTGACCTGTCTTCTCACTCTTTCAGCCGGTGGTTGTAGTATTCAACTATGAGCTGTATTTGCACATTTGTGCATTTTGGTTTATAATAATTCTATCGCTCCGAATAAAAATATCACTCTGCAACTATTTTAAAATCTCCATTTTTCTCCTTAAAACCTCACTGACATGATCGTCAGAGTGCTAACTCCGAGAGAACCATGCAACCCATTTTGTAAGTCAACAACTCCTCTGCGGATCACTCCATCTCCGACAACTGGGTCATCAAGCTTAATAAGACTCTTGTATAAGTTCTTTGAAATATCAAGATAAAACGACTACAATACAAGTGTTAAAATTTAACAGAAAACCGAATTGATTGCATACTCTAATATATATATATATATATATATATATATATATATATATAT